GTTCTGATTCATGCGCAACTTCTTGCGTCGCTGTTGAAGTTTGGTCTGAATCTTGTAGCAGTTCATCGATCTGTAAATCTACGATAGTTGTTGTCTGTTCTGGTTCGGTTGCTGATTCTTGTTCGATTGGTTTCTCGGATGGTACCGGTGCTTCTTCAGCAACACCGCATGGCTGACTATCCGGAAGCGTCGGAGGGGGGTCAGAAATAGGAATGGGTTGTTGTTCTGGTTTGTTAAATGCCTCGAGCAGTGCGACTTCGTCGTCAATCCACTGAAAATGAATTGGTCGAATCATGGGCATGCCGGAATCCGGTTCAGCTTGCTGAGTACCGGCAACATAAACGTGCACGTGAGTCACGTGTCGATTGTATCCCGCCGAACAACAAGTTGCGAATCGACATAGTGAACAAGGAAGATATCGCCTGGGAGAAAACGAAGTTGAATGGAGCATCAATCAGAAACAATTACTAACAGTTATAAGTACAAACTGGAAAGGAATGAATTCACCCCGTCTTAAAAATATTGTTTTCCAGATTTTATAACTTCAGTTCAATTTGAATAACTATCTCCCTGTACTTTCATGTGGCCGTTTTGGTTGGTGTCTTTTGGATAAAGGGGTAGACGGAAGGTGAGAATGTTCAAAGCAGTGTCAAGGTAAAAATTAAGCATTCATGTCGACTAAGGTTGCAAGGACAATGCGTAGATGCACGAGTGCCACTGTTTACGAAACTTAACCATATTACTCAGTATCTCTAATCATGATGATCCCGACGCCGGATCCAAAGAACTTATCTTTCAACCCATATATATATATATATATATATATATATATACGCGAGAGAACAACCACGGCGCAAAGAACAAAGCAATCATAATAACAGAAAAGGGGGCTTCCGGATACAAATTACAGCAATGTAGAAAAATATGTACAAAGAACAAGGACACTGGTGCTTTTCTGTTATCTTTGCTCTACACTTTTATATTTCCCGTCTGTCTGTTTCATGGGGTAAGGAATCTCAACGGGGAGATCGTGTAGCATTCGAACCACTGAATTCTATCCCTAGTCTCTAAATGGCAGCAATCCTCATCTCTTGAATCCCAACTTGGAAGACGGGCTGGACCAACTTCTTTATACCCCGTAGCCACGTTATTATCTGACCGCTGCAACGCAACTTTCAGCCTTGCCTAGCACTAATGAAGAGGGCAGGGAGAGGTAGATGATGGACACACGCGAAGCGTGGGCGAGCAGTCGGAGGTGGTAGAGGGAGAATTCCTCTTTCAGCGAACAACTATCAGCACTAGGACGACTCTAGCCATTGCTCACCCGATCTTACCACCTAACACGAACAATGCTCCAAACACATCAGTTGTCGAATACAAAGAGTTGGTTAGCATCCCCAGCTCTGGCAACGGTAAAGTATAAAATTACGAACCGCGGTGATGTACAAACTTCTCTTAAGGGATAGCCGGAGATCATGGCGGCGCCACACGTTTCATGGGTTAGCAAAGACTGTAACCCCCATCCGCGAGAAAGCTTCCAATGCACCGAAAGGTCTAAACTACTTCTTGCTTATCACCACGAAGAACATATGCAGACGCACAGATCTCGGCCAATCATGTATTTCAGTCAGTAGCCGACTGTACGTCTCAACGGTTGCAGAACGAGGTGTCAATGCTTATTCACCGTATAGGTGTGTGCACTGACCGATTGCAGTACACCTGAAATTAAGGATGAGATCTATAAGGACATTTTTCAATTACTCCGAAGTGTTTCATTAACGGATGTCGTAGTAGTCACCAGTGAATTAAATGCTCAAGTGGGATCCTTGGACGAATCAGAAAGGCTTGTTTGGTAGACCACATGTTATCCCAATCAACCGGACGGATCACGGAGATCGCCTACTTCGACTCTGCGCGGACGACGGGCGGTTCCCGTCAAGCACGAACTTCTCGCACAAGAAAGGATTGCGCCTTACTTGGAATCTGCCAACCTCTCCACAGTGATGGACCCAAATCGACCACATCACCATCAGTTACTGCTGGAGGAGGTCAATTCAAAACTGCCGCTCTTATCGGTCAATACCTGTGGATACAGACCACATCTTGTTACGAGCCAACTTCCTCCTACCCCAGGCAAACAGCCGCGAAAAAGCCAGCGACGACGGATAGCCACAATACAATGTCAGTGATTGTTGCAAATCGACCGTTGAAGCGGAACTCTCCGATCGCCTCTCAGTTCAACCATCAACCGAAGGATTCAATGAACATTGGAAGTAAATCAAGGAAGCTAAGGAAATATCGACAAAAACAACATCGGACCCTGGCGCAGCCTCAAAACACAAACGATGGATCTCATCGACCTCCGCTGCACTGCTAAACACCTGCAGTCATACATGACACAGGGCGCAAATTCTTTAAACAACAAGTCATCACGAGCTTGAGGAATGACCGCGAGAAGTGGTAGGTAGAAAAGTGTAAAGAGATGGAGAAAGCTGCGGCTATTGGTAACCGTCGTAACCTTTTCCATCTAATTAGGAATACGGGTCCTAGGAAAATAGGCGTGAGGTAATTAGGGAATCCGATGGCACACTGATTCACGATCAGCAACACCGTCTTGATCGATGGGCTGAACACTTCGAGACTCAGTTCAACTGGCCCCGATTTACAACAAAGGTGATAAATCCTTTTGTGAAAACCACAGAGGAATTAGTATAATCAGCATTGTTTCTAAACTTCTCGCTGGGATCATACTCCGTCGATTGTCTGCCGCTCGTGAAGAGTGCACACGTGAAAACCAGGCTGGTCTTAGACCTGGTCGAGGTTGTATCGACCACCCATCTCTGTCTTCCTCGATTTGAAAGCGGCTTTCGACTCAGTCGACCGCTCTAAACTCTGGCGCTGCCTTTCGTTGAAAGGTGTGTCCGAGAAGTTTTTTTCAATATTAGAATCCCTTTAATCTAATAGCCGAAGTCGAGTCCGAGCTTACGGCACTTTTTCACCCGAGTTCACCACGGAAAGTGGTGTTTGACATGGTTGCCCTCTCTCCGTTTGAATTTAATTTTGTCATCGATTTATTCCCAGGTGACAGACTGTCTGATCCAGAGGATGCAGACGGCATTATGCTAGTGAGTGAAGATCCGGGTAAGTTGCAAGCTTTTCTGATTATTTTGATTGCCAATGCATCTATGTTTGGTATTCGTTTTGCACCTTCAAATTGTAAAATGTTCCTACAAGATTGGGTGGATAAGTTTTGATAACTGGGTACCTACATCTTACCCGGTGGACGCATCACAGATGAAGTGTCGACGCAAATACAAAAAGCTCGGTTGGTGTTTGCCAACTTGAGACATCTGTGGCTCCGTTGCGAAATCCGGTTGTCTGTTCGGCCAGTCCTACTGTACGGCGTAGAAACTGGGTCATTAAGAAAATAGAATAAAGATAGACTGTAGGTGTTTGAACACCGCTGTCTACATAGCATTGCAAGAAAATGGTGGGGCAGTCGGATGAGCAATGCTGAGGTTAGGCGGCGCAGAGTTTTAGGTAATTGCGGTCGCCCACTGGAGCAAGTGGTCGACCTTCATAGATTACGTGTAACGTATGTCACCAAATAGGTTACCACGGCGAGCGATGTTCGCCGAGAAGGGTAGCGGTTCGAAAAAACCAAGGATGGCCAAACTAAGACCTGACATGAGGCTATGAAAACCCTGACCAGGAGACTGGGTCACATAGGTAACGTTAGACTCCCTGGCCTGGGACCTCACGATGATCGTACCCGATAGTTANTGATATAGCTGCGTGTCGTAAACAGTGGCGTTCATGCATCTTCTGAATTTCTTTGCAACCTTAGTCCACAGAAATTCCTCAGTTTCTATTCGACTCTACTTTCAACTTTCCTTTCTCTACTGTTCATCCAAAGCTAAAAGACAGCAACCAAAACCACCGCACGGAAGTGCATGGTTAATGGTTGTACAAACTGAACTGAACTGATGTAAAAGTACTTTGCATTTGGGTGGTGCAAAGCAAGTACCATATCCAGATCGCCAAGCAGTTCAAAGTAAGTCTGTGTCACCCAGCAAAGTGGTAGCATCGGCATATTCTGCGTCAATAAATCTGTTCTGCGGAAGCTTAACTTCATCGTTTGCTAGACCAAAAAAAAGCATTCTTCAGAACATCCTCGATAGCACTTTTGAAATGGAGATATAAGACAGGCCACTGCATTATAGAGAAGACGGCAAAGAGCAACGAAAGTCGGTCATAGGCTTCAACGCAACCTGAGGTATGGCGATCGATACATGCTGTTTGGGCGCTCCATTTCTTAGGAAGGCGTTCCATGGTGTAGTCCTATCGATGGATTCGAGGGCCAGCGGTATCCAAGATCACATTGCTGATCTATGGAACGCGTCGTTGTGCCCCAGCAACCGCCGGAAGGTGAGAAGTTAACCGATGGATCCACGACCGGCACAAAACGCAGTCTGCTCATTGCTAGTACGCTCTTTCTGCATGTTGAGCAATCTGCAGATGATGGAGTAGAGTAGTTTCGATGCTACTGGGATTCGGCTTATAACCTTTTGGTTGATGTAGTCAATGTTTGGGTCCTTCTTAAAAATAGGGACGATAATTAATTCACCACTACCACCACGAGGAGGAGACCTGCATAGTGATCCCAACCTATTTCAGAGAAGCCGATCGTACTGCGTTGTGCATGTCCTTCGGGAAATTTAGAAGTAGTGTCTCTCATCTCTTCCACATCCAGGTTGGCGCTAGATGACTGTTAATGTAAATCAGCACCGTCAATTCGCACGTCGAGCGAACTGATCACCGGTTTCTCTACAGTACTTGCCTTTAGAATAAGAACTGAGTTTTCTGCACTCCGACTTTGCTTCTCACCGTCGCGGCTGGACAGGTACTATCTGAAACATTCATGAAGTCAGATAATCCTTCCTCGATAACTGATGGACAGTAACTCACGAATGGTTAAGAGGAGAAAGAATAATTAATGAGGACCAAAGGGAAAAAAGAATGTAGCTTAGCCGCGCTGAAGATAATTCAAATAGTGAAAGTGAAAGCAGATTGAAAAAAATACTGAAACGCACCGGTGTGCGTCACTATCCATTGGTTCTCCGCATTCCAAACAACGCATTTCACCAATATTTGGAGGGAAATGCAGTAAAACTAGGTCCATAACACCACCGGCTTCAGGAGCATTCATAAGGGTTATATGTGGCTGAGTTTCCTTCAAACGACGCACAGTCTGATCGGTAGCCTGCAAAAACGAAAGTCGAAAAATAGTCATCGATTATTACCTGATCAATCACCGGGAAAATAAAACAGGAAAGAACACAAAATCTACATAAATGAAAGAAATATAAATACACATTTTATTCCTGTGAATTCTACATCAACTGATATCGCGTGAAGGAAAATGATATCGTCATAACTGGAGACAGAAATGGCAGAATTCATCGTGAAATAACTGCGTAGAAAACGTCGTCCATTTGAGTGACAAAATCGGAAACCAAAGATAGAACTCTTATCTAGATTTTAGTCAAACTTGGCCGTTATTATACTGAGAAAAATATAACTGGAGGCAAAGCAAAAGGACCAAACGAAGATGGTCTTTCTTGCAAATTTTTCGAAAACCTCTTGTGGTCCTTTCATTATTAGGACCTCAGTTAAAAGGCTATTGAAAAGAGAAAATCGTATCTGGTTGTGAGTGGAAAACGTAATGTAAACAGACGAGAGTTTAAAGGATAAATAGGGAATTCGAGAATGTGGAATGGAAATAACTGAAGTATAAAACACCTAAGTACCTAGGAGATAGGCACAAACTAGAAGTTGATGGAATATTCCCCAATTTGAGAATCAGCCAAATGAGCTGAATGCTAGGTTTTCATATAAAGGAAAGCATTTTTTCACTTGTTCTACGTCGGTAGGACACGTTCCATGTGCCACTTGATTAGTTCACAGAGGGGCATGGCTTCCCGGGCAAGAGTAGAAGAAACGACAACCATCAGTCTTTGAAGTGGTGCACACAAAGAAGCTGATGCAGTGGTCGCCAACTTTTATTTGGAGTACTGGGGTAGTTGTCACTAGATAGTGATCAGATAAAACAACGTAACTGGTAGCATGAAAATTGTTACGCGTATCGTAAATGTTTTGATATGAATCTCATACCAAACAGACCACGAAAAGAGATGAATCCATGGAATAAGTGCTAACTCCTTTATTCCATATTACTTTTTTACCCTGATGAATTATGTTAATAATGTTCAAAACAATGATTTATGCAAAAATTATACGAAGTAGGTGTGAAGAATGAAGTACGAAGAAAATGAACCGGTTATTTGCAAACATACATACACCAAATTAATCGTAAATCAGTCAATTGGGTGGTTAAACGCGAGGAAAAATTTGCAAAGGTTGACCAATAAACGGACAGAGTGAAAAAGACAGACCTTCGGAAAGCCATAGAACCCAAGAATTCTCTTTTATGTGCCTAGGAAAGGTATTCTATCTTGTAGATAAAAAACAGAGTGAGTTATAACGGTAGTGGTAGCGATGATAGTTGTTTAACCTACCTCATACCCATCCAAACCAGCCTCCTCCGGTCGATCGCTTGTCCCATCACGCACTGCTTTATGATCCAGTCGTCGATGAACCTGATAATCCGATTTGTTGGTGAAATTGAGTCTACATGTGGGACAACGTCGAAGCTGGTGCCGTACTTGATGCATGCGCAAATGTTGTAAGTAGACCTGTGTTTGTCCTACTCCAGGTACGAGGGTAGCCGCCCCGGTCGGAGATGCATAATGCGGGGATCGTGCATCAGATGGAGTGAAGATGCGCAAACAGTATGTGCAAAGCAAGTGATTCGAGTTGTCGTGGAACTGTGTGTAGTAACAGGAAAATCGGATGTTATAACAGTTAAGGGCGGAAATGGAAAACCACATATGTAACGTCTTGTGTCTTACCTTTTTGAAATGATCCAAAATATCTTCGAATAGTGAAGAGCGAAACAGACATAAACGACACACGTAGGGCATTTCTCGTTGACGATGGGATGACTGCAGGTGATGGGCCAACGCCAACTCGCTATTGGTCTCTTTGCCACAGATACGACAACTCAAAACGTTAGTCATCATTACATGTTGCAACTGTCCGTTGATTGCATCCTCTACCGCTACACCACTGTCCTTTTGTTGCATCAGTAACTGTGAGGCAGTCTGAGCAGTTACCTGACTTTGATCTGTGGCAATTGTTGCGTGATTCGCATCTGGATATGTGCAGGAGTGCTCCTAAAATGGAAGTTAAGAGGGAGAGAATATGATACATGTCTTCACACGGTACATTTATATCCTGGCGGATTTATCGAATTTCCTCTGATTTCGATATGGACCAATCTTGTCAACAAACAGATGAATAGACACCTATAAAAGTGTTCAGTGGAGCGTTCAAGATTCATGAGAAACGAGACAAAGTATTCTATCCGTACTGTTGTCGCTAGCTAATCGCCACAAATGCCTGTCGAATCAATTGCAACGCGAACACGGAGAATTTTCAAAATATCGGCGGTCTTTTGATGAGCATTGCTTCCACCACCAGCAGAAACAGACAAACAGCAAGTGCCGCGGTTATAAACTCCAGGAACAGGATCGATGCTGCCTTGATTCGCACCGCGTTAGATTAGCCGAGAAGCACCATAATTCGATGCCCGCCGTAGCCTCCTCTGAGAGCTCTAATAATTTGAGGCATGAAAA